AACACCGATGTACTCATCTCACATTATAAGATATGGAACATTAGCAGAGCCCTAGAGATCTGCAATCTCATCTCCCTCCTTCCCTATCAGCAGTAATAATTGTGCTAAATTTTGTGTTACTCATTATCTGCTTCTTTATTATTTTACCATCTATATATGAATCTCTGAACAAAACTTTTAAAAAAATATGCCTATTTTTGAATTTATACAAACAGAATCATATTGTGTGCATTCTTTTGTGACACATTTCTTTCACTCGATTTTTGTTTTTACATTTACCAATGTGTGGAAATTGTTCATTCATTTTCATTGTTATATGCCATTCCATTGTGTGAATATCTATATAGTATTGTAATATACTTATGATGAGGATTGGAGATGTTTCCAGTTCACAACAAAACAATGCTCCTGTGGACTTTTATGTACATGGACCTCAAGTCCAAGAGTGTCTGTAATCTCACAGTGGAATTGCTAGGTTGTAGAATATGCATTGTCTTCATATGTTTCAAGAAATATCCATTTTTTCTGCAAAGTGGTTATAATTTACTCCAGCAGTAACCGAGGTTTCCTAATTCTGGCATGTAATAGGATCTCACTGAGGTTTTAGTATGCATTTCTTTAAAATTGAGCATTTCTTCGCATGTTTATGGGTCATTGCGTTTCTTCTTCCGTGAAATTCCTATTGATGTTTGTTTGCCCATTGCCCATTTTTCTATTGGGTGTTTTCTGTTTTTATAATTTATTTGTTGATGTTCTATATGTATTTAGATACAAAGCCTTTATTAGTTAAAAATACTACAAATATCTTCTCCTGGTTTGTAGCTTACATTTTCACTCTCTATATGATGTCTTTTGATAAAAGGAAATTCTTCATTTTAATTAGCTGAATTTATCAATCTTTTTCTCCATGGTTAGTGCTTTTGTGTCTTAAGACATTGTTACCTACCCTAAGTCATATTCTCCTAAGAAATGATCAATGCTACTGGGTTTTCATTACTCCTAGGCCTTTTCAGGAGACAAAGCAAGGAAATATGTATTATTAAAGGGAGCTAAGAGTAATGATTTCCTACCTATATTTCAATCTTAAAAACCACAGTGTCTTTACTTCATTGACTTTTCCTAT